AGGAGTATTCTAGTATCGGACCCAGTGAAGTGAAGCCCTTCAGCTTGTCGATGGTTCCTGAGACCAAATAGCTTTACTACCAGGCCAGGGCTGGCAGAAGACTCGTTAATAACGCTGAGCTCTGTATAATCACTTATTGTTCTTTTTACACTCGCCACTGATTGTGTCCACTGGTCTGCCATCATAGTAGCTAGAAGTTCAAATTGAATGTCCTTTAAGCAGTATTTGTCAGTTGCGACAACAAAGTGAGTCCGAAGCTTGGGTTTTTGCAACTGTCGGCGCAGGACCCAAGAGCATACAAACGACAGGACCCGTTCAAGTCCACCGAAATCCGCTACAGAGATTAACACTATGTCGCTGAACAAAGCAAAGACATCGCAATAAACTCTGTAAGCCAAATCTGTCATGGTTGCGGGCGGCTGTTGCACCAGGTGGTAACAGTAGTTGCCTGGAACGGGCCCCGCTATGATGCGAGGTATGGCGTTGCCTGGTTGCTTGTGCATGTCGCACATCACCACTAAGTTAGACCCTTGACGCTGAAGGGCTATGGCGAATTTTCTATATGGGAATCTCATGGCGCCCTTGAGACTATCGCCTTGCTCAGTATGCCCCTGTATAAGAAGAATGGTCCGTGGTTTTGCTTCGCCTATTTTGTCGAGAATTTCGTACGGCGCCATGTTTTCTTGCAGGTATGGCCCAGGAAGACCAGCTGCACTAGACCGAATGTGGAGGAGGTCGTTGGGCTGCATGCTTAGGGGATTGCGACGGCAAGATTGTGTGTGTCGGTGTGCGGGAGACGGAGTCCACTGGAGCCTGGGCGTTGGGTATTATTTTTAATTTTGCCTTGTCCGATGGGGCACTGACACCGGGGACCGGGAGACCGGTTGTTGTGGGCTTTAAACAATACCCTTGTATTATATATTTCTTGGACTGTATTAGATTTAACTCTGCAGGACAAATAGTAGTACCCATTTGTATAATTACTCTGGCTTGGCTAAACCATCAACAAGAAGTTGCCAGTAACCACAGAAGATGGAGTCTAAGTATCTAGAAGGAAAAGCTCGAGTTCCTTTGTCGAGTCTGAAGAGCGAGGATTTGGATGTTGATTCATCGTCATTCCCGATCAACATCATTGAGCATCTTCGTGATCCAGGACATGCCATCTCAGTTCGGATTACTCCAAGGTCCCGAGATGACATTCTACGGGACTTGAGCTACTCACCCGAGCAATTGTATGCGACGCTTGAATTGGAATCTAGTCCTTTGATCAATGATCACCAAGTTTTCTACGCTGCCAAGGACTTCGATCTGGACAGAGCGAAGGCTGCCCTCGGAAGGGATCATATTTGCAACGTACGCTTGTACTGCATTCCAGGTATGTCATAATTGAAGATTACCATCGAAGCGTTTGGTCACGTTCTTATCAATATGCTAGTACAACCTCGCAAGATTTGCGATGGTGCCGTCTTCCAGAACGTGCGGTATTACATGGCCGGGTCTTGGAAAAAGAATCGTGTGTCTGTTGCCCAAGCCTGGATGGACAAGCTGTCGGGGTCCAAGAGGAAGATACTGGGTAGTCTATTGAAACATCCGCATATAATAGCAGCTATGGATAGCATGCTTTGTTTTCCTGGTTATTGGGATGGACTTCAGCTTGGTAACTGGGCAAAACATCTGGCCGCCCGCATCAATCCGCTCATCATCAACTATTGGGTGCATATTAAGAACGTCGCTTTGAAAATAATGGCTGGACATGAAGACAAGCTGCATCTATTTGATGCAAATACAGTTGCAATTCTTCAATATCGGGCGCCGTCGTGGAATTCGCAAGACCGAGCACAGATCTGCGATCTTTTTGAGGACGGAACACTGTTTCCTGGCATTTTATCAAAGAGTGCTCGAGACAGAATTAAAGACAACATTCTTGAGCTCCCGGATTCAATACCTAGCATCCAGACCTTTCATGAAAACATGAGATATTTGACGATTGGAGCTAAAATCCTTGAGAAACACATTGAGAACAGGCCGTCAGAGAGCCGGGCTGATACAATCGAGCCCATGTGTTCCAGTCTTATTGAGAATTTAAAAAAGGACTGGAACAGTCGTGGGGCTTCGATGGAAGTCGGCCACGGTCGCATGATCCAGGTGAATGAGCCAACTGCCGACGCTGCAGTCATTCAAGCATTTCTAGCCGCATTGCGCTACTTCCCTTACTTGTCACCCGAGGCGCCTCTAAGGGACTTTGACAAGAGAGTGTGGATGGCGGGCAATTTTGATAATAGCGTTCTAAGCCGTCTCTGTGTCACTCTTAAAGATTTAGGTTTCTCTAACGCGAATATTGAGAAAGGGCGTCTTCACCCGATTGAGAACCGGCACATATCGTACACCCAGCCGAAGAGGAGGAGGGACTGGCGCAGTGGAAAACCTTGCCTCGCGGGGTACCACATCCTACTGCAATCGTCTTTTTTCCCACAACTATTCGCGGAACCCCTAGATGACAAGGTGCCACCAGAGCTACGTGTGCAAAGCGATATTTTGCAAGCTTTTTTTGGGGGTAAACCGAAGGTTCCATCACTGGCATCAGCTGCATCTCTTCGTGCTGAAATGGACGTGGATACAACAGAGCCAAATGAGGCATGGAGGAGTGAGGCAGAGATAAACGAAGACACAAGGCTAGGTGAAGTATTAAAGTTATGGCCAAGGGGCAATAATGAAACGCGCCCCAAAAAGAAAGGAAAGGACAAAATGCCTCGAGGTATTGCTCGGTCTGCAACAAGTCGCGACAAGCCGCGCGTTCGGGGCAAAGGGCCCAAGTTCACATTCAGGCAGCAGAATGTCCCAGACATCCCAGCGACTCGGGCGTCTGATCTCTACGTTGGCCCACCAGTAGATCCAGCGGGTATCCCGACTCAAGCGCTGGCGCACTTGACACCCCCGACTAAGAATCCAAATCGGGCCAAAGAAAAGAAACGCAAGCATGATGAAGTATATGAAGCAGCAGAAGTGCCAGAAAAGAGGAATAGGAGGAAGGACCAGGTCGGGGGGATTCAAGCCGTGGGAGAGCAGGCTGGAGCAGAGCAGGTCACCCAAATACAGCCGGCCGAGGAGCCAGGACGAGCAGTAGTGGATGATCTAGCTAGCACGTCACAGGATGTGCGCTGGGAGATGAAGGCACCCTTGGAAGCACCCGTTGCAACGCCTGCGCTACCGCCCTCTATGAATTCCCAGAATTCAACACCAGTAGTTCAGCGAGGTCCCGAACCACTTTCGAAACCTGCTCAGCATGTCCATCCCGAAAATAACCCGCAAATTCCTGAAATTAACTACGATGAGGCCTTCTCTCCTCCTCACCTAGAACAGGAGGCTGAGCTTTTTGCTATCGGGGACTAATTGAGAGTAGAGCGGGTACATTGATCTATCATCTCCCTAGCTAGAATCGACTTAGGGCTCAAGTGCTGTCTTTATTGTATAAACGCCCTCCGGGCTGAATTAATTTAAATGTAGTTAGCTAGTTACCCGATTGCCGCAGGCTTAATTCACCAGATAATAAAACGCAAGCCCCACGAGACACACCAGCTAACGCGTTAAGCCAACTCTTCTCTCACCATGAAGAGGAATGCATTTGTGTGCGCCTCATTGGCAGCCTTTATCACAAATACAGTAATTACCGCCATTATTCGACACAGTTCTGCATTTTCTGACCGCGGCCTCATAGTTTTTCAGGTGTGTATCGTGTTACGAACAATGTCAGCTAAGACTGATATGCTCCGTAGATACCCAAACAAGATGCTCATGTCTCAACAAACTTAACCATTGGAATTCGGGGCTCCTGTGTTAGCTTGACCAATGAAATCCGGTGTGTTCGCTACGACGAAGCAGTTCTAGCAATGTCAACGAACTCTACGAATCGCATTATCCAACAGATATCTACAATTCACTTGGAGTGCTTGTCCGAAATTGAGATGTTGCTCGCGGTGTCAGCAGCGGTAATATGTTGTGCACTGCTCCTTGCAAGAAAACCTACAATTTGGGTTAGAGTTGGCGTCTTGTTTTGTATCATGCTAGTGATAGCACCTGTTACCGTGGCGGTCGTCTCACTAACAAATGCGACGAGAGCAATCACGAGTATGGGGTTCACCGCCGTGATAGGCCAAGGCGTGATCTATGGCTGGGTGATTTTTGGCGCTGCAATATGCGGATTCTTTTCCATGGTAATCGTATTAGTTTACAACTTCAGACAGGAATAATACCAGGAGTTCTCTCACTAAACGTAGACCATAATCCGCGAGCTATAGCGTGCCAGATGTGTGGTGGTCGGGACACCAAAACTTCCTCACATGCCAAGCGCGCGGCAAACTGCAATGCTAGGTGACCTATTTTTAAGAAGCCCCGAACCTCTATGGCATATACCCTGGCAGTAGCAGGTGTACTAAAGTTAAAATTGGCAACTGGTATAGAGGTTACGAGTAGTTAGGGATTAGGCCTCAGCCTGCAACAAGGCACGAGTGAACCAACATGACTTGCAATCAGCAGGTTTTCCACACCAGGTAAAGTGATTATCCAGCTCACGTCTTTTAGATGTTTCGCAAGATTCTCACCGTTTATGGGGAACGAACTTGCACGGATATATAGCGATCATATAATGTGCAATCCATCAAAGGATTGCCGACCGGTCAGAATCAGTGACCTGCAACGGGTACAAAAGAACCGATCCAGCCGTTTCTCTAAGCGGAGACGGAATTTTCTGAAGAAGGTACACGATCAACAGAAGGACTGCGAAGTAGATGTTTACCTGTGCGTATGCAGCAGAAAGGATAACAAAATCTGGCAATACTCCAGCGACTTCACTCCACCTTCACAAGATGAGATGGTATGGCGTACGAGGCAATATGTGTGTGACATATTTCTAACCTGCTCTAGGCTAATATGTACCCTCTGCCGGTTTTACTCGGTCCAGATGACTTCACCAAGAAGGAATATTGCATGGAGAAGCCATCTGGCTATTTGGTGCCCCAGGCATCTATCGCTTCCGGTGTTGCTGGGCTGGAGGCAGAGTCGAATCCCTCTGAGCTATTCGCAACTTCGACTAAGCCTGGACTCTCTACGTGTAAGTAGCTAATGTGCCATGAGAAAGAAGATACATAAATGCGAACCTCATTGTCTTTCAGTACTTGGATATCTCCTGTTATTTGATGCAAACGCTCTCGAGTCCGATGTAACTCGGCACGTAATTCCTGGCTGAAATCATAGTGCTCTTGTCGGGAATTCAGCATGTCTTCTTGTAGGACATGAACCTTCTCCTCCAGAACATACACCTTGGTCCGAAGTTTGTGCATGTCCTCTTCGTGCTGCTCATCGCACCTTGCCATTTCATCCTGAGACGCACTTAGGCTTGCCTCAACCAGATACATTCTCGAGGTAACTTCTTTCACATCCTGGCTCCATAGAGCATGAATGGCCCGGCAAGTATTGGACGATCCTGCGTTTGCTTGCTCTAGAACCAGCTTGAGAGAAGATGACGGGCTTTGCCGAGGATCACTTGAGCCTATAATCACATCCTGCTTTGTTTGGGCAGGTCGCAGTGGAAGCAGACGGCTGTCAGGCATTATCAGATGCTTTCAGAGGAAATTTGCAAGTATGCGTAAAAGCAAACCAGGCGGAGAGGAAATCGATGAAGTATGTATTTCAGTACCTAAACTAGCTCAACAACACGTCCGACCAGAGTCTAATATGCACAAGCTAAGATCCATTTATGCCTTCCCTGTTGCGCTCCCTGCTGCGCAACTAACCGTTACGGTCCGCAATAGTGTCGTCGTCAAAAATGTAGTCACCGCAGAGGTGACAAGAGGGGTGGTGACCTTGGAAGCGCCACTGTCAAAGACTGTGTCTGTTGTCACAGGCAAGGGAGATGTGGTTCTAACAGTTCTTCCGATCATATCGGACCGGGGGATCTCCACTCGAACGGAGTCAGCAGCCGGAGCCCGGGCGGCTGTTGTGTCCGTCCCCGTTGGATCCTTGTTCATCACTGTAGATGATGGACGGAGCCCGGGCGGCTGTTGTGTCCGTCCCCGTTGGATCCTTGTTCATCACTGTAGATGATGGTGTTGCCACCCCAGAAGTGACCCATGACTGGGACGGGAGTGTGACTGTGGGTGATGTCTCCTGTGATCTAGGGAAACTAGTCGTTGTCCAGGTAAAGACTGACACTGCAGTTTCGGTTGTTGTACGAGTGGACATGGTTTTGACAACAAGGACACTGGTTGTTCTGAGTACCTCGTTAATGCATCCAACTTGTGCCTCCCTATCAAGCTGCATGGTAGGATCAGATGTGCCATTCGTTATATTCGCCTGATAGCAGTATGGAGCCAGTCCGGCGCATTGCCTACCACAGTTAGTCGACCTGTTTGCAATGGAATGGTTATTGTGCTCACCAAAAGATATCTGCTTCCCCATTGGGGACCTCCGCAGGGGTGGTAAATTTTGCGATCAGTTGGCCTTCACATGGTGTGGTGGAGAAGTTGAAGCGCAGAGGGAGGAAAGAGGAATCGCCAAAACTCATGGTGGCTTGACATCTTGTGGACTGAGGAGCGTTAATGCTGTGTAGGCGGGTTAGCAAGTGTCCGCGTCATGGTCCTCGGGATGCAACTGACTGAGCCGACAAGACCGATTGTCCAGCCTCAAGGGAGACGACCGGGGAGGTGAGGCACATGCGCAGAGGGAGGAAAGAGGAATCGCCAAAACTCATGGTGGCTTGACATCTTGTGGACTGAGGAGCGTTAATGCTGTGTAGGCGGGTTAGCAAGTGTCCGCGTCATGGTCCTCGGGATGCAACTGACTGAGCCGACAAGACCGATTGTCCAGCCTCAAGGGAGACGACCGGGGAGGTGAGGCACATGCTATGGATTGCAGTGGCCGGCCATAGCAGGCACGCCAGAATCGAAAAGACGTCGTTGCGATACATTTCTTTGCCGTTAATTATTTCTAGTGATGCTGTTGGCTCGGAAGCAAGAGCAGTCAATCGGGCCATTTTGTACCCAAGAGACGTACCTATTTTTAAGTCCGTTTATATTTAATTGTATCCTGGTGTGATCTCTAGGATTGCCTTACTTTAACGGGCGCTTACCAGGAAATCTGTGCAATGTGTGTTTATTTAATTGCGGCCTTGCTCGGAGATGGCGCAAACGTCAGTCAACTCCTGTTTGTCCAACTCCTCTCATGCAACAGCATCATGTCTTACTTCACCTTCAATATGTCAGCGAGCACACAAGGGCCATCAACGCCCAAAAATCCACAGCGTAGCAGCGTATCCAATTCTGCTGTTCCACAGTTGGATCACGACTCGTCTACTCTCCCCATAAACTCATCAGCAACAATGCTCTGCGAGCCAACCGTTTCTGGGCAAACTGCACTTAATCCAGGGGCACAATGGTCTGGATTTAATAGTAGTTTGCTTCAAGTTGATGGGGCATTCAGTGGGAGTGCCTTGCCACCCTACGATCAATCTACATTACATGCCGCACTTACCACCAACGACGATTTGAGATGGTAGGTCCTTTCTAACGACATTGAGGATGGCGAACTCGCATGCTGACCTAGTCACCACTCAGGATGTTGATTGGGATGAACGAACGTATGGCCAACTTGGAGCAGACCGCAACTGCTGGAAATAGAACCATGGATCAGATGGGCAACCATGTTTCCGACATGCTTAGTCGCCTGGCAGTCATTGAAGGCATGATCAAGGTAGTTGAGGACCTGAAGCAAAGTCTTCGAGACTTTACCAGGGGATTGGTGCCACACATTCTTGGCGTAAATCTCGAGGAAGATCTTGAGAAACAGGGCTAATGCGCAACCAACGGACACACGGGTGGGGGTTGAGCGGGGCAAGTGACAGAGGCTGCATGAACGTTGGAAGGTAATCCGTGTACGATTTTAGTTTTTGTGTGAGAAATTGATTCAAGCCGTCATACTACTTCAATGTCCATCTTCCCTGCATACGTGGCCATCCAAGTGCAAACGAATCGCCGCCGATTCACCATGGCTAACTACACGTCCAAAAAGCTCCCATCCCTGCTCGAGCAAGCCGACTTGAGCGAAAGAGGCATACACCACCCCATTGCCAATCGTCGTCTGGTCTTACCTGGCCAATCTGCCAAGAGCCAAGACACTGCCAATGCACTGAGAGGACAAGTATCTCAGCTTCAGAAACAAAACGCCGGCCTGTGTATATCTCTTCATGAGGCAGACAGCCAGAATATCGCGCTACAACAACAACTTTCTGCCTACAGGCAATACATAAAAAGGCAGGATGATGGGCTAGCCCACGTTATCAAATACCATTTGCTCTGCGTTCTAGGGTTATCGAGAGACTGTGGTGGAGGCCACCTGGGACGCAACTGCAGCGGAAGACGCCGTGCAAAGCGAGATGAGAGGCGCCGGGGGTCGGTCTCCTCCGCAATTTTAGACAGTCTAGGGATGATTATTTCTCCAGTTTAAAATAAATACACGACGTTGTCCTTATCATATTGATCCCGGACACGCGCAAGCGCCCAGGTGCCGAATGCGACTGGGCATGCAAGTGCACGCCCGAGAAACCAGCACTGCCCATATCCCCAACCCGCCGCCCACACCCCCAAAATCTCGAGTGAAGGATGCAACATTGGCGCAAGAGAACCGGCCGACATCACGGCGGTAAGCCGTAAAAGAGTGGAGACGGCCCGGGGCCTTGCAAGCTGGTAAATCGAGAAGCGGATGAGCGTGGGACCATTAGATCAGGTCCTAAACCTCGTCCCGCACTTGAAGGCCAAAATGACAGATTTAAAGTAAAGATACTCCGTAGATCTTGAAGATCGTTAGCCGCCGAAGTTCGTTGAGGCGAGATATATATACCAGTGCAAAGAATCATAATCAACGGAAACTACCATAAACGACAATATGGCACCAATTACCTGCAAAGTTGTCGACGCCAACAACCGTGGACGGCCTGGAGTCTATGTGGTTCTGGAGTGCAAAGACCAACTGCACCGTGGCATCGCGACGCTGGAATCACTGACTGATGAAGATGGCGGAATCAGTCTGTGGTTCCCAACACCCTCACCCGGGCGAACAGACGATGTGGAGCCACAGATCGTTGACAGCAGCAATATTCCTAGAGTCTCTTTGACTTTCTTCCCTCATACCGTGCCGTCAACATGCCCAGGCCCGTTCTTGTCTATCCACACGGACTTGTACCTCCAGGGGGATGAGTGCCACGGAATTACCCTGTACCTTGACCCTCATCCACGACTAGTGCACTCCCCTGTCCCGGTAGCCAGCCCGCTCAACAGGTTCGCTGCCGCAGCTGTGAGCACGCAAGAGCCGCAGCGAGACCTATCAACCCCTTCCCCGTTGCTGCTGCCTCCACCAGTCAGCCAGAACAGCCGACCATCGCCGATGCTTCTGAATGGTATGCACTGCCACAATGGGAGTCGGGGTCAGAAACGGAAGGCGGAAGACTATCCGCAATCACCAAACAAGAGGCGCTAATTCGGGTGGCGGAGGTGGGACAGGGGGATTCGTGAAGAGAACTTCGCCTTCTTATTGGAGACATTACGAAAGCAAATTGTCGATTCTGCAATAGTTCAACACTAGGGCACGGGATGTATATGGCACTTGAATAATAAAAACTGGGGCTTTCAGGAGATGTGCACATGTGGCCTGTTTTTTGTGAAGGAAGCCTGTTGGCCAAATGAAGACGACGACTGGCGTGGGTGTGACTATCGCTTTTAGTTGGTTACCGACGGTACGGTCCGCACTATGACAATGAGGCCTACGCTAGTAAGCCTCACAATGGCAGACGCCAACCCTACCGTTCATGCTTCAGGTGCTTCAGTATGTGGAGTTGACTCCCCCACGTCTTTCCTCCATGGCCAGATTCACGTCCCACCTTCCGCCCAACCTGTGCGATTTACCCTGGCTGGCAGGCTGCACGGGCCGTCACAATCACAAAATGGTGACACTGACTACTAAGCGAAGGGCAGCCTAAATAATGTCCGTATAGCTCGGCGTTCGGCATTTTTCATCTATTCCGAGAAGATCCAGTGACTCGTAGGTCGAACCTCTCTAAGAATCATTATCTGGACATGTACATTGAAGTTATCCCAAACTGTTTTGCGGTTGATCAAGAGTCGGCAGACTTGGTCGTTCAGCTCAACCTTTAGTCTCTTAAAGTCACTCTCATCAACAGTAACTCCCCTAATACAAAAACCAGGTCCAGTGAATGAAATTCTTACACCAGATGCGTCACCCGCTCCAGGTAGTTCGCTCATGAGCTCTGAGAGCGACGTGACTTTAAACTTATGTGGAGGCTCCCACGTTTTATAGCTCATGTACCCATTGAAGTCTTCTCCTAGGCTATATTTGAACTGGAAACTGCCAATGTGGCAGGTATTTGTCATATAGTCAGTAATGATATCTTGTTGGATTATGCTATTAGCATTGTTGTTTGTCAAGAGTCTTTCGAGACTGAAGCCGTCTCTAACATCGCGACTTCGGCAAGAAGGCGTCCGCCTCCAGCGCCGAATTTCCTCAGCAAGGCGAAAAAAAAGATACCCAACAAGTGTCTGGATTCTACCTGACGTGTTAACTAGAGTCGTAATTAATGAGATACAATAAAGAGCTTACTTCTGGAGATTGGCGGCATACACAAGGCCAGCGTCTCCAGTTCCTGGCCAATAAATATCGCCGCGTCCGAGTAGGTCTAAAAAATGCCGTGCAAGCCCATGATAAACCTCAAGCGTAGCATCGTAAGATGGACAATAAGTGAATTTCATAGGATTTATGGCATTCAAAAAGACCAGTATGTCATGGACGAAGATCGTTGTCTGGGGGTGACCGAGGTCACCATACCCGAGCTGAGCAAGGAGCTGGCGAAAAGTGGGCAACGCAACGGGCATTGTGAGGAGTGAAAGTTAATTTTAAGATGCGCCGCTTGAAACACAAGCAAAGGGCTGCGGCGCTTTTTATGCAGCTCGGATTGGGGTATACGCACGACATGGTGGCAATGACAACCGAGAAAAACTGTGGTGGGCTGAAAGCGCCTAGATCTGCCAGTTGCCAACACTGGTCCAACACAATGTGGAAAGGTTGCCTAGATTGCCGCAAGCTCTCTTCGATTAAATAGAGCTACTCTACAAAGAGGCACAATGTCCCATCGTACAACGGCAACATAGATGCCACCCAGGATACATTGCAATCATGACTCTCGTCAAGCTTTCAGTTGCCTTTGCGTGCGCTTATGCCGTCACCAAACTGTAGGGTAACCAGTAAGTCTCGTCAATATTACATTTACTAAAGCCACAAAATGGACTAGACCGGATTGAATCATCTCGCAACCGTCGGTCTTCACGCCAAAGTGACGACTTTCGAACCAAGAGTCGCCGGGGAAGGCGGGGGCGGACTCACAGAAGATCACACCCTAAGCCTAGGTCTCGGTCGCCGTATGGCTACTGCAGGGCATCTTGTCGTCTAGCTAGTCTATTTACTAGGTACACATCAGACCATTCTCAGCTAGTGTTAGTTATAGAAAAAATAATGACATATCAATTTGCCTGCATCTGCGCAAACCCCAACATCCTTGTAACCGGCCGCCGACTCGCGGCTCATTGGTGAAGCCAGCTGCCAGTCGCCAACGCGTTTGAGAAAATTGGTGCTGCCAGTAACGCTGGCCACATCTTCTAGTACCAGGTACTCATTCCGTATCGTTTACCAGCACCCGATGGCTTTCAAGAGCCGTGTTATTAGTAACTTTTAGTTAGCAAACCACTACTACTGGCAGCCGACCGATGAATGTTACCGATAACTCGCTGATACCAGTAGCATTCTGAAGCAAGCTACCAGCACCCTTTGAGTGGTGGTAACCTTGCAAGCGAGGCTACCGGCACCACCTCCTGGATCATACCAGCAACTTCCCTAATTGTTTAAAGCCCATGTGAAAACTTAGGGGATAAGCCCCCGAAAGCGTAGCGTCCCATTACACCTAGGATTACCGTGCATGTCCGCTGTTCCACCCATAACGGTCAACCGGCGTCGAGTTGCGCCCACGCTCACCGCCAGGACGAGATCAAATTGCCTCTCCATGCAATTCCTAATTTCTTAGAGAGAATTTGTACCTTATTACGAAATTGCAATTTTACTAATCTAAGCAGGGTCTTCTCACAGCCATTGCGAGACCGAAATATTAGCAATCTTCCAATGCCGGAAGCCTGCAGGTGTGCTAAGCGCTCAAAAACTAACTACTCAATGCTGTTTGCCGAATTATGAGGAATAAGAAATGTGGTCGGTTGAAGACAGCCGCTGTGACTAAAGATAGTGGTGCTCTCGCGCCCTCAGCTAGCGCTTTGAGATGGCCCAGCCTAGTATGACCAGAACTAGATTTAGTACCAGACTGTTGAGCAAGAGAGGCATCAAGGCATTCAGCTGCGAAACACGTACAAACGTGAGATCAAGTCGAATGATAAACCTGCTCTTTTTATTAGACATATCAGAGCATGTAACTATTTAAAGGTGCTAAGGCTCAAGTGAGAGGGCTATTTTTTTTTTTCAGCATCTCGACCATCTTCTGTACCAACGCCACACATCTAGAACACTGCCAAACTCTTTTCCCACCTTCCCTCAAGATGTCTTTCGCAGAAAAATCTACAGCCCTTCAAAACGTCATGAAAAATCTCGATATAGGAGATGCCTGTGTCTTGAGAAAAGCCTTTACCTACAGCTCGATACTCAAACAGTGCTACGAGTCGCGAGCTGATCCCGTTGGGTATTTGTCGCGAACGTTCCGGTACCCATTGACATTATTGTCCGCCATGTTTGATTCGGGCTGTGTTATCACCGGTCCGCGCGCTTTGGGGTTCTTTCTCCCGTCGTCAACAAGTGAAGACTCCGTATGGACTTTCTTCGTTCCCGGATACAAGGAATCAGTTTTAGACATGGTCAATGTGTTGGAAATTTGCGGGGTCTCGTGGCAGCTTGATGCAGCTGAAGTGGCAAGATCGCTTCGCCCACTTGGAACGGCCTCCATCTCAAGTGCGGATCTCGAGTGTCTCAACTCAAGGGCAGAATCCCTTGAACCAGCTGCAGCGGAAAATTTGCTCGGAACAGCGCTCTACGGCAGATTCAAGGCATACAAGGAGATGAACTGCGGCAACAGGCTCAATTCGGACGCCTGCCAGTTATCTGATCTGGAAAAGCCGACCTTGGGCGTTGCTTCAGAAGAGTCAGCTTTTCCGCCTAGTCAGGACACAAGCAGCGCGAGAGAAGCACTCAATGTTCTTCAAGGATACATACAAACCAGCTCAGGGTCTCAGGGCGTCGAACTAATTATCGGATGTTCTTATTCAGGCATCAACAGCTGCATGAGCTTTATCAAAGGCTTTTACGCCAGCCATGTCCAGTGCTTCATCAGTGGATGGTGCGCGGGCCACATGTACTACACCCAGTGTAAGGACAAACACTCATCTATGTGGAGACCATGGCCGGGCCAGAAATACAGGAACGCCCACCTTGATGTGAAGAAATACAGACATCGAGGGTTTACTTTCCATCGGGCCAAACGCGGAGGGCCGGTTACGCGATCACTCAGAGACTCCCAGTCCTTCCTGCTTGATTATGGGGCCCTGTATCGGTCCTTCATTCGGCCATCGCACCACGCACTGCTTGACGCCTGGCTGGCAGAAAGACGAGATAATATGGATGGAATAACCTGGACAGAATTTGACGGTCGCATTTTCTCAGTACATGATACATTCGAGTCTTGTTATCGACAGTCCAGAATGACATTCGCCTCTCATAGCGTAGATCTTCCGCTAAACAGGCTCCGGCGCCTTAGCAACCTCGTTGCGTTGAACTTGACGGAGCCGGATGCGCTGAGAGCCGAGTCGTTCCGGAGCTCGATTGGTCCGCCTGCAGTTGGTCAGAAATGGCAACTTGGCGCTCTGGCTCGAACTGGAAAGGTGTTTAACAACCTTCGCGACGCCACACCCTGGTCCTGGGCCTTGTAAGCTATAGAATGATTAATAGATTGCCACTTGAGTTTGTAATGCATTTGCATGCGTCGTTATTAATGTGATGTGATCGAAGCACTCGAGTTGGGGAGTCCTTCAGCCAGCCGCCGGGTGCATAAACGAGGAGCAAGTACCTAGGTAGGTAACAGCTAGGCAACTCTATCACAGTTTGTCTCCACTTTAAAATCAAGCACCCCAGCAGCAAAGTTTCCCAACAGCACTTGCCGTGCCGTGTTACCCCCCAACCCATGTTCACCAGAGTAACCTATTTGGAAAATTTCACCCTTGTCTCCACCCTTTCGTGGATTATGGGCGCCTAGCTTCATGCCGTCCGTAGGAATCACAATACTGGGCGGGTGTTGTATCCGGCGAAAATAGCGGGGCTTCGGGGTTCATCACAAAAAAAAAAAGCCGGGGCATCACCTTCTCTTTGCCCCGATATGGGGCCGTCCGGAAACTGAAGCCGACGGGGCCCATCGGCCGATCAAAGATAACGCCGGTTCCATAAATATAAATACAGTATGTAATGCCTTGTGAATAGGGAAGCCATACAATGCAAAGTCACACCTCACCTCATTCTACGATGGATCATTCAGAAGCTCAGAGTCATGGTGTCAAAGCACCACTCACATCCCTACAAGAGCGCAATGCGCTGGGCTCAGAGATCATGCATTTACGCTCCATAACGCAGTATGAAACACGGCTGTTTAATTTGACAAGAGAGAATTGCAGATTGCAGACTGAAATTCAGCATTTGCATTACGTCAGGAGTCTCGAGAAACAAAATGCTGAGAAGCAGATACAAAAGCTGTCTGCCGAACTTCTTGCTTTGAAGCACCTGGTGAGTGTCAAGTGACTACGTGATTGCGTACGGGGGAGACTAAACTTACTGTTGTACCTAGAAGCCTCTGAGTATGTCTCGACGTACTGTCAAAGTGCGAAACCGTCAAAATCTCCAGCACGGAGATTCGGCCGGGCTTGGGGAAACTGAATCAGATAATACACTGAATGTAGATAGTACCTATTAGAGTGGTACCATAAGTTAGACAGTTTAAGAGCGCCCCAGAGGGTGTAACAACCAATCCAATTCAGTGTCCAAATGCAGTAATGTGACCTGCGCGATTTGTGGCATAAACATGCCTTGCTGCTCTGAAAGAGGATAAGGTCGTATGCACCTAGGCGCCAACAAAGTCCCGGGCGGTATCTGCGCAGACTAAAATCACGTTGGACGAGCTACATAGGATAAACCGAGGATGAATGAGGAAAGCCGGGGTTTATGACCTGGGCTTATATAAGTCCCGGCTTCCTCTTCTACACCTCAGACAACTTCCTGTCTTCCCAAGTTCCTCTTGCCACTTAAGACATATTCATCAAATCAAAGAAACCTTAGCATTCAGTTCTGCCTAGACGCCATCATGAAAAAGCAGCCGGCCTCTCGTAAGCGTCAGGCTGCTGTCCCCCTCACATAGCTTGTACTGATCTTCATACATAGTCAACGAAGTGTCCAGAGTGGACCTTGACCGAAGATTCGATCTCGCTCATGTTATCGATGCGCTTACTTGGGGGGTCTCTGCCGGTGTCTCTATTTACTACACGGTCCGCGCACCCCGAGATGGTCCCACCATCGGGGCGCGCATTTGGGACCAGAATTTTCAGTATGAGACGGGCCTGACCATTGATCCAAACATGGTCATTGCCTACTGGTTAGTATCGAGCATCAAACAGACTGATCCGCAGCTAAATCACCTATTAGGGTAGGAATGCATGCCGCGCTCTTTGTGCACATGCTGGCCAATATTTTCGCGGCCTCTAACGACATCAGCTACATCACAATCAGCAATCATTTCAGCATCAACAATTTACTTCACGTTGTTTTTCTGGTCTTGTTTGTACGCTCTGCCTTTGGCTGGGCCGAGTGTATCTTGATTCTCAATTTCGTCAACCTCTCTGTGCTTTACTTTAAGCATAGCAAGCTTTCACACTTCACTCGCATTTCAGTTATCTGCGGCCCTCTTGCCTGGAATTTTATTGCCATCCTTTGGAACTGGGCAATTGCCGTAACAGCTGGAATCGGCTACAACGACACTATCGAGGGCTTTGGTCTCTTTTTCGTCTGGGCAATTCTCGGGTATGGAGTGTTTTCCCTCCTTGTCTTCCAAGTAAGTTGAACTCCAATAACTAGAGCATATTTCCAGTTCTGACTCTGCCTATAGGACCTTGCAATGGCTTTCTTGCTGGCGTACCTCTGCGCCAGTATCGCCGTCGCGCAGCATTTTCTCCAACGCAGTGATCGAATGTGGATTCCGCCTGTCGTGATTGCAAGTCTTCTGGTGGTAATGATGTGTGCCGTCGCCGCTCGGTGCCTCTGGAATTTACGAGCGGTACGTCGGAAGAAAGTGAACGAGTCTGTGGACGCTGAATTCGATGAGCGTAAGGAATCATGCTAAGCTCTCATTGATGTATGGTTTACGCTACAGTCCACAGGTGGAATGGGTTTGATCTCGACGCAAGATTCTGATAATTCGAATCGGACTTTCTGATAGCATACTTAGCCGTCAAGGGTGATCTAAGTACAATGACACAACTAAGCTAATGGATATCCGAGCTATAACTTTCAACTTCCCTAAAACAGAAACCCTATTCAAATTAGCTATCTCAGAGAAACTAGTTGGACATTTGAGCATTGAGTTTTATTTTTGTCTTTCTAATGCTCTTCGTTCCTCGACCATTTTGCGCCAAACTATCTCTCTTCCTTGCAGAACATCCCATTGGAAGTAATACATTCTCTCAGTTCCCGGTAATCACATTGTAGTGTAAGGGAACGGCCCCACATCAGGACTTACATAGCTCGAGTCTGAACTTCCTTGGGAAGCTCTTACTTTCCTTGTGAACAATCGCTTTATCCAAGTCGCACTTGACCTTGCTCGTGCCCTTGTACCGTCACATGTAGGTGGTTAGCTGATAACGCATTTATAGGTAGAGAGAAGGATTTACCTTTTGTGCCCATCGCTCCTTCATGGAGTTCGAGCTAGTAGAGTCCGTGCCATATGTAGCACACTACCATGTTGCCCAGCAAAGAATATGTCTGAATCGTCAGTCGCAAGCTTGACAGTTGCCACCACGACAAAGTTGTTATCACAATATTTGTCAACCTAATCCGCCTCTTATGTTTCGTAGCACGTGTGTAATTTTATTCTTCTATCTATCGTTCGTAGAATGTTCACGATATGTGAGTTCAATCAGTGGCTTGACAATACACTGAGTATAAAATCGCGCCTATCCCCGCAGTTTGCATTTGCAAGACGGTGGCAAAATCCATAACCCAGTTCGCCTGACCCAGAATCTGAGATTTTTTTTTGCGTTTCCGATAATATCGCGGCAGAGTTCCGAGAAATTTGCTCAAAACTGGTCGATAGTTATCGGATAATGCCTCTGTAGACCGAAGTCGCAGAGCTTGGTGTAATGGCTGGATGTTATAGCGTTGGCTATTATGACTAAACTTAGCTGAAAGTTAAATTTGGACGAAAGGATGTTTTTTGGTATTAAGTAGAGGGCTGTAGACTTTATCTGTAGCACGACCACGAATAATAATAATTTTTGTAAAACAAGCTTAGTTAACAATGAGTCTCATAACGTGACAATAGTGGATTCACCATGCGTTGGGAACAGGCGAAGTTTGGCCCAGAATTACTGACCCACAGCAGCGATGCAAATTGGACCATGGAGTGCAATCTGTCACGTTATGAGACTTATGTTAACTAAGCTTCTTGATAAAATCATTCTTCTTGTTGATGCGAGTGCTGTAGACTCTGTCTGTAGCTCTCTTTTTAATACCAAAAAAACTTCTTTTTGTCCGAATTTAATTTTTGGCTAAGTTTAGTCATGATAGCCGACACTATGACAACCAGTCATTACACTAAGCTCTGCGACTTCAGTCTACAGAGGCATTATCCGACATAATCGGCCGTGGCCGGCCAACTTGAACATCGCAGTCAGCATCGTCTGGAAGTTAATCGTCCCCAAAATTGAAGGACGCAAGGCTGAGAGCAGGAAGATGTCGTTGCAGCAATATTAAGGAGCTACTGGATTGTGTCTGAGTCCGAGTCGTGCCTTGAGATCCAAGAAGTTGTATTCCAGCCAGTGCATGGTCAGCCGCCTTTCAATTTAGCGAATAGCCAGTTGTTGCTCGCCACTCTTTGTCAATTCCTTATATGAGCAAATTTGAGCCCTAGGCAAACACCTAAAAGAAGCTAGTGGTGGATGTCATGCACTCTGGCTACAACATGTTCAAATTGTGTTACATCTTGTCGTTATGCCCCGGCATATCCATGGTCCAATCTGTCGGTTTGTGGTCGATTTTCCATCACCCTCTGGTGCGGCACTTTCTTCCTCCGAGCTCCACCCCCCGTTAATCCATTCATGCTCTCTGATAGCTCGTTCGGCGACGGGAAACCCGTCCGCTTCGCGAAGCCACTTAAACATGTTTCGCGTCATAGACTCTGAACAGTCCCTGTCACGGTCAAGGTTGTCATAGTGAATGGTAGTATGGCCAGCAACAGCATCATCTACCTTCGAGCTGGGTGTAAAAGAGCTTTCAATTGGGTCTTGGGCAATCTTAGTGTTGTTCCTACAGTTCCATGCCCA